GAGACAGAGCGAGCGAAGCAGACTAAGCAAGAGCGAGTGAGACAGACTGAGACAGAGCGAGCGAGACAGAGCGAGCGAAATAGACGAAACAAGAGCGAGCGAGACAGACGATACAAAATAATAGATAGAATAATATGTAAATGCGAAGATGAGGGCGCTACAAATGAAACGGCGTATATTACACAGCTCCACAAAAAAAAATGAAAGTATTTTCCCCGATATCTGACTGTATGTTCTTTATGTTTTTGAGGTCGCTGAATCCGAATCCGGGGTCCGTTTGACTCCATCACGTCAGGGTTAAGGGCATTTGAAGGTCAAATTGTGAATCGACCCGTTAAAAAATTTTTAAAAAATTCATAATATATTTTTGGGATTCCTGATTCCAAATCCAATCTTTTTTGAACCTCAACATGTCAAAATCAAGGTCAAACGGAGGTCAAATCATTCAAATCGGATGATACAATATTTTTGACTCCAGATTCTGAAAGAGCGGAAAATTTTACGTCCGAATACGTAGTAACTTTTTTTTTAAACCGACTTCTGTAGGTCGCGTTGCGGTTATCCAAAATAAGACTTAGATATCTATTTTTGGAATCTGTTGGCAGCGGTTTTTTCCATGTGTTTGCATCCAGGACACCTCCCCGTGGTGACGGCGGGCAACGGAGTTGTCTCGCTATCCGGCAAAGTTCCTGGGTCATGATGCTCATGCCGTCATGGCAAACACACCGGAAAAACTTACGATGCAGGGGGTCGGAACCCCAGTATCGGCGGCTGGTCAGGGTGAGAAAGCGGGCCCGCAGGCGTCGTCATCATGCGACCGTAGCTTTGTTAAGGTGGCTAACTTGGCCTTACCAAAGTATAAAGCTACAAGTATAGCCAGAACCTCTAGACATGAGCATGACAACCCGGAAAAACCAAATTATTTTTGTTACGTTTGTGCTGAATACGCACCATCATATAGCCGGAGAAATATCACTCGTGCTATGCGTACTGCATACAGTTATTGTTTTTCATCAGAAATATTGAATCAAGATGAGAATTGGGTTCCATATGTCGTTTGTCTGCGCTGTCATAAAATGTTGCTGACATGTTATATGAAAAAGGACCTTTCAAAGTTGGAATACTCTGTATCAGTGACATGGAATATGCCAGAAGCAAAACAAGACTGTTTCTTCTGCAATACCATTACTCACGGATACAATAGGAAAAATAAATCAAAAATCAAATATATTTTTACCGATAAAGTAATTCCAGCTGTTTTGATTTCAAAAAATAGTGGTAATGCCAAGAATCCTGTTGTAGACGTCCTGGCCAATGAAGGAATAGGTACCGAAGAAGTACAAACAGAGGAAAGTGACAGCGAGATAGAGACAGACAAAGGAAGTGAAAGTGACGAAAACCAGGATGAAAGGAATAAGGAGCCTGCAAAATTTACGCAGAATGAATTGAGTAACTTAGGAAGAGAGTTAGGACTTTCAAAGGAAGCTCATGAACTTTTGGCTTCAAGGCTGAAACAAAAGAATCTTTTGGCAGAAGGTGTAAAGATTTCAATTTATAGGAACAGAGACCAAGAGTTTCGACGTTTCTTTACTAAAGATGGTACAGTGGGATTGGTGTATTGCAATGATATCAACGGACTTATAAATAGTTTCAAAGTTAATGTCTACAAGCCGAATGAGTGGAGACTGTTTATAGATTCTTCTATTCGCAGTTTGAAAGTGATATTGCTCCACAATACGAATGTACTGGTTCCAATACCCATAGCTCACTCAACACTTCTCAAAGAATCTTACCAAAATATGAAAATTGTTTTAGAAAAAATCAATTACAAAGAACATCAATGGAGAATCTGTGGTGACCTCAAAATCATTGGAATTCTTCTTGGGATGCAGAGCGGGAATATTAAATACCCTTGCTTCTTGTGCCTTTTTGACAGCAGGGATCGTCAAAATCACTACATCAAAAAGGAATGGCCAACGAGAAATTCTCTGCAGCCTGGATCGTCCAACGTCATTCAGCCGCCGCTTGTAGATACATTAAAAATTTTAATTCCTCCACTGCATCTCAAACTTGGTTTCATGAAGCAATTTGTCAGAGCTCTAGATAAAGATGGAGATTGCTTTAGATATATAGTGAAAAAAATGCCCAAACTCAGTGAAGCCAAGCTAAAGGCAGGCATTTTTGATGGCCCACAGATCCGAACGCTCTTCAATGATCCCAATTTTACATCTCAAATGACAAAAAACCCCGCACAAAACCAATGGAAAAATACTTTCGGTTAATTTAAATCTTACACTGACAAATCGATAGTTCGTAACATACTGATCAAATGTTTCCATGGGTACCATATCCGGAAACTCGTTTTTTAGGGACAAATCAAGGGTGTTAGCTCCAAAAATACATAGTATACGTCTTAGCCATTTTAAGACGACAATGATATGCTTTTATTGAATGCATGTACATTGATTTATATTTTGTGGACATTTGAAAGTCGATGCACATATAAATACTCACAACCTCTTTCTCTGATCCGTATATCTCTTTGTTTTACGCGAAAGTGATAGTGTACGGTGACCCATTCTCAGCCGAATCCAGGATCAACGGCGTGGACGTGATGGGCGTCTGATCCCTGTGTGTGTGTGTGTGTGTGTGCGTGTGTGTTTGTGTGCGTGCGTGTGCGTGTGGGTGTACGTATGCGTGTGCGAGTGCGTATGTGTGTGTATGTGTGATTGTGTGTGAATGTATGTATTTAAATGTAAATCAGCGTGTGTATGTGTGTGTGTGTATGAGTGTTTTTTTTTTTTTTTTTTTTAATTGAGAGGAAAAAAATGCATTGACGCACGTTGTGCCGGGCTCGCCAGGTTGTTGGGTGTTAAAACAACCTGTGTGGTCTGATGGTATGACCACATCTTGGCCTTTTCATACTTATTCGTATGCCAAGTGCACTACCGACTAAAAATAACCTCTCTACACCCGGCCTTAAATCCTCCATGGAAAGACGGTGAAGTATTACATCGTGGAGGAGGCGTTAGCTGTTTCCAGCTCTTCCTTCTTAGTTGTGCTGCCTACATCCCTGCACTAACCTAGATGGCGATGGTCGGTTACAGGGTTCGGCAGCGTACTTCTTCCTTCTTCGATCTTCTTCAGTAGGATCCTCTTCTTTTCTTCATTCCGTAGGTCCTTTATGATCTCGGTCGCGAAATTCGTCGTGGCGTTCCATGCCTCTTCTGTGGTCAGCATGGCTTCTACTAGTGTTTCCGCTGTGATGCTTCGTCCTAACGTCTGTTCCAGGTTGCAGCGATAGGTCTTGTATCTCGGGCAGTGAAAAAACACATGCTCCGCGTCTTCTTCGAGTCCAGCACAAGTCGGGCACTCCACGGAATCTTCGTACTTATATTTGTACAGGTATGCCCTGAAGCATCCGTGTCCTGATAGCATCTGTGTCAGATAGTAGTTTACACTACCGTGTGCACGTTGCACCCACCTGTCAATACGGGGGATGAGTCGGTAGGTCCATTGTCCCTTGTTTGATCTATCCCAAGCCTCTTGCCAACGAAGCAGGCTTGCCTGTCTCTCCTGACGTTTAGCCTGGTCTGCATCAATCTGACTATCCTTTCTTTGATAGTAGATACGTCGTTTTTCGCCTGCGAGTTCTTCAATTGGCATCATCCCCGCGATGACCTCGATAGACTCCTTCGCAACAGTGCGGTATGCGCTTGCCACTCGAAGGGCACACCGTCGGTATACCCCTGATAGTTTTCTGCGAGATTCCTGTGTCCTTAGTCCATCTGTCCAGATGGCAATGCCATATGTAATGACTGATGTAACTACAGACGCCAGGAGCGCTCTTCTGTTTTGTTTAGGTCCTCCCACATTCGGCATGAGCCTCGACAGGGCAGCTCCGACCACCGATGCCTTACTGGCAGCGTTTTCCATCTGCTGCTTGTAGCTAAGTCGGGCATCGATCATCACTCCCAGATATCGGATACACGGCTGTGATCTGATGTTGTGTTGTCCCACTCGCAATGTAATTGTTTCAGTTACCTTTCTGCCTGTTATTAGTACCGCCTCCGTTTTATGCTTTGCGAGTTCCTGTCCAAGGTAACCTAGGAACTCTTGGTATCTCACAAAACACATATCGAAAAGGTTTCTCAGGTCTTCGAGGTATTTGCCGACGATGGCCAGGGCAATGTCGTCCGCGAACGCCACTGGTGTAACTGCTCCTGGCAGTTTAAGCCGTAGTAAACTGTCGTACATCACATTCCATAGGAGTGGTCCAAGTACCGAGCCCTGCGGTACGCCTCCTGTCACCCGGTACTCATTTGGCCCTTCCTCTGAATCATATTTCAGGTTTCTGTCCGTGAAATAGCTGGCCACCATTTTGAGAAGGTACGCGGGAACATTCATCTTCGTTAGCGCGTCCATGATGCGATCCCACCTTGCCGAGTTGAAGGCATTCTTAATGTCTAGTGCGACAACCAAGCAGTATTTCTTCTTCCCGTTTCTCCATCTTTCACCGGAGATAGCTTCTTTCGCTATGTTAGTGACCAGGTCAATAGCATCGAGTGACGACCGACCTTTTCGAAATCCGAACTGCTTATCGGAGAGCTGCTTGTCTACTACTTCCTCGATTCTTCCATGGATGATTCGTTCTAGAATTTTTCCTGCTGTGTCGAGCATGCAAAGTGGACGGTATGATGATGGTTCGTCAGGTGGCTTTTTCCCCTTAGGGAGAAGAACCAATCTCTGCTCTTTCCACTTGCTGGGGAATGACCCTTCTAGGATGCATCTGTTGTACATGCTGAGAAACATGTCTGGCGCTGCATCTATAGCCTTCTTAAGTGCAGCGTTTGGAATGCCATCTAATCCTGGGGCTTTCGCGTTTTTTACCTTCGTACATGCTTTGTTCAGTTCTTCTCTCGTCACGAGTGGGATGACTTCTCCCTCGTTTTGCGTTATATGAAATTCGCAGCTAGGTCGTTGAGGGAATAGGTTTTCTACTACCTTCTTGAGAAACAACTTGGTGATACCGTTGCCTGGCTCTTTAGCCGTTTGGTGACGACCTTATAGGGCCTTCCCCAAGGGTCAGTATCGACCTCTTCCAGAAGCTCCTTCCAGCATTGTCTTTTATTGACCTTGATCGCTTTTACCAGGTTTGAACGAGCCCTTTTGTACTGGTTTTGCAGCTCTATGACATTTCTGCCTTTCTTCCGTCCGCGTGTTACCGCCCTTCTTGCTGAGATGCACTCCTTTCGAATGGTAGCGATGTTCTCGCTCCACCAGTATATCGGTGCATGCTTGTTTCTTGTGCCCTTTCGAGCCATAGTTGCATCGCAAGCCTCAGCGACTTTCTTCATAACCTTCTCAGCTTCTTCTTCGGCGTCACGAGCGCTGATAAGGCCCGTATCAAGTGCCGTTATGAAAAGCTCAGGGTCGAACTCTTTTACTTTCCATCCCATTGCATTTGGCTTTTCTTGCATTGTCTCCTTCCTTCCTATCTCCCAGGTAATCACTCGGTGGTCATTTAAGTTGAAAATGTCATTCACTTTCCAGTTTACGCAATTTCGTACAATACCCGCGTTGACAAACGTCAGGTCAACAATTGATGATCTTCCGTCTCTTTCGTACGTTGGCATAGATCCTGTGTTGAGGAGCTCTAGGTCTAGGTACGACATAGTTTCTAGCAATTCATTTCCTCTGTTGTTGTTCCACCTGCTTCCCCACTCTACTGCCCAAGCATTAAAATCTCCTGCGACTACTGCTGGGGAGTGTTCCTTGACATCTTTCATCAGCCTATCTAGGAGGTCCGTAAATCTTCCTTGCTCTTTGTCTAATCTAGGAGGTGCATAGCAGCTATAAAAGTGTATGCCACCGAGCTTAGCTCTGACGAATCCACTTTGATTGCAGTTTGCTGTGTCCTGGAAAGGTAAGTTTCCACACGGCCAGATGGCTGCCTCTCCTGTCCTGTCGATGACCCATGACTGAGTTACTCCGGCCTTGTACGGGTCAGCTATTATGGCCACATCTATTTCCCATTCTCGTACTGTCTGCAAGAGCAAGTTGTGCGCACCGTGGTCATGGTTTAGGTTGTGCAGCAATATCTTCATTGTCGTCGTGGTCGTTTCCGCTTTTTGCTAGCTTCATTAGCAACTGCGCATCTAATACTGCCAGCTACATGTTTGCAGTGCTCTGCTTGCTTTGATTCAGCGCATAGGACGCAGTATGCATCTTTGGTGCATTCTGCAACCTTGTGCCCAGGTCCACCGCACTTCATGCAGAGTTTAGATCGGTCCACTTCACTCGTGCATATCTTCGCTATATGTCCCGGATGCCAGCATCTATAACACTTGAGAGACCGATTGCTTTCTCTTATCCTACAATTGACAAAGCCAATCCGGATTTTACCCCTTTCACCTATTGCTTTACGTGCCACTGCAGCCGGCAGTCTGGCATCATTGTTAGCGGCATTCGAAAAATAAGGTCCTTGAATATCAAGTATATAACCATTTGGAGCTACAAACATGACAGGTTTTAATAAATGTCTGTTCTTATGAACACAAAACGATTGACGCAAGGCTTTAAAACAAGAACTCTTCTCAATATTTAGATAAGTACAATCATTGTACACAATTGCCGTCGGTTCTTCAGGTGTGGCATTATACAAGCGATTTGCAAATGGTGTTATATGTCTTTCTATGTATTCCTCCCTTGTTATTGATCCAAACCCTATGTTCTCATCTAAAAATCTCGTCATCAACGATTGTCGAACTGTACTGATTGCTAAACTCGTAGCTTACCTTGAAGAATAATGGAACATTACCCATAAAAATTCATCCGAAAGACCCTGTTTTAACTTACACAGGAAACATAGAAGGTCTTTTTTAGACACATAACGATGGCCACCTGGATCGATGACAGGATCAGAGTATGTGAAAAGATCATTAAAGTTATCTTTTGAAATAGGAGAAATAGCTGCAAATTGTTCATCTGTTAAAGTGCGTTCATCTTCATATCTGCGTACAGGGCTATGCACAATTTCTTCACGCATCGCTTGAACAAATGATTGTAATTCTGGACCATTCAAAATGTATGGTCTTAATGAACCTGAAATCTTCAATAATATTGAGTGGTAATAAACCCTTTTCATCCAAATGCTCATTACAGCAACAGTATCTTGCTGGCACATAAATGTTTCGCTCTACAAAAATATGAACTCTGGATTGCAAACTTAATCTGTGAATGTTAATACGTCTATGGCACACCAAACATTCATTATTAGTACGATGAGAAAGAACATTGAGTCGAATGCAATTGGGATCAGCCTGTAACATTTGAATTTCACGGCGTATTGTTATATTACAATTGTTACAGATCCGAGTTTCAAGATCAATAGGAGCTTCTGGTCTTCCATTCTCCAAGCGTCTTGTAAAAGCGATTTCTCGTAGAAGGTCATCTTCAGCGTTAGCCAAACGTACCATTACTCTAGCATGTAAAGCGTTAGGGCAAATATAGCAAGGAATCCGAAATCTATTAGCCATTTTAACAACCAGAAATAATTATATTCTTTTGCAATGAAATCAAATCAGTACTGTACAGTTAATTATTCTCTACGATGAAGACTTGAATTTTTTGTATTCTACTGTACCCCAGTATACATTGTAAGACATGTAAATCAACAGCGTAAGCATTTATTTCTGGGTGTATAATTAATAAACGTTGTTCAAATAACAATGAATAAGGAAGTCTGAAGAAGACTGCCCTGGATTTATTCTAAACTAAGATTATTTTTAAGAATTGAGAAAAGAAATATTACAACGATCTCTCTACAAGCCACGAACTCTTCTCCGCAATATTCTGCAATGGTGGACTGCAGTGGTGGCAGCCTCATAACCATGCATATTGAGATTACAATGGCAAGAGTTGGTATTTTTAGAAAAAAAGGAATGTTTTTTTAAAAATATAGAATTGTGTATCGGCTTACGACTACTGACCGGCCATCGTCAGTACGTAACAAGTAGTCGCTTTCGTAGACACATATTGAAAAAAATAACGAAACGGTTCTACTTAAGGATTATGGCAAACAAAAAGTTCTAGAGAGAGTGAGGCTCCTATCTAGTGGTGAAAAAGTGAAATGAAATATATAAAAAGTGAAATGAAATATTCAAACTCGATTACTCCTGGACTAGTCTCTCAATAACAAGTCAGGTTTCAATATTTCATTGTGCATTTTCTGACACACTAACACGCATAATGAATAACACACACAAACACTAACATACGTAGATAATTACACATGAACTAACCCACACACACACATAAACTCACACACACACACACACACACACACACACACAGGGATCAGACGCCCATGACGTCCACGCCGTTGATCCTGGATTCGGCTGAGAATGGGTCACCGTACACTATCACTTTCGCGTAAAACAAAGAGATATACGGATCAGAGAAAGAGGTAGTGAGTATTTATATGTGCATCGACTTTCAAATGTCCACAAAATATAAATCAATGTACATGCATTCAATAAAAGCATATCATTGTCGTCTTAAAATGGCTAAGACGTATACTATGTATTTTTGGAGCTAACACCCTTGATTTGTCCCTAAAAAACGAGTTTCCGGATATAGTACCCATGGAGACATTTGATCAGTATGTTACGAACTATCGATTTGTCAGTGTAAGATTTAAATTAACCGAAAGTATTTTTCCATTGGTTTTGTGCGGGGTTTTTTCTTCAACGGTCTTTTATTGAAACAATAAAAACATACCGTTATATAATATATATATATATATGTGTGTTAAATTTGCGAGGCGCACGCAGGGAAAAGGAAGAAACTGTAGACTGTTGACTACATTTATTATTGTTGATTACAAATGGCTGCTGCAACCTGATTTACACTTATGCTCGATTCCCCAGAGCTGTGAGGATGCGAGCATGGACTGACTGCCTTTATTTAGAAGCAACTAAGAAATTGCTGTGAGGAGCTAGCTTATGAAAGACGAGCTCGCCTCGTCAGCACCGGAAATAGACTGGAGTTGCGGCTACACAAACTCTCTGCGGGGAGTGAGAGTTTGCTTGCTCGCTCATCGCATCGTAAATTGAGGAATGGCACCTTCTCGTGCCTGTTACGGAAAGCTGGGTGAGACTGTCACATATTCTCCTTCCCTGGAAGTTGCCCGATCAGAGGGCAACTCTGACGAAGTCTTGGCCAGGTGCTGGTCGGGCTTGTCCTCATCGATGTTGGCGTGACCAGACCACAGGACTGGTATCTCCCAATGAGCTAGCTGGCTGGATAAGGGGTACATAAAATAATACTGAACGAGACTATAGACGAGATCGTTTAAAGAGATGTATGCTGGTTTTAGCATAGCAGTTGATACAGTGTGTGGACTTCCGGTGACGTCTATGACGTATCGCTGGTCGTCCAACCGTCTGACTAGCCGATGAGATCCTGAATAGGGCTGTGTAAGTGGATGGTTTACTGGCACTCCCAATTTAAAAACATGTGTAGATGTATGAAGATCTCCATGTATAAACTGCTTGGTCCTGGCGTGGTGCTAAGTTGGTGTTGGTCGGATGACCTGAAAATGCTTTCGCAGATGGTCTAGGAAGGTTACTGGTGACGTCGGAAGATCCTTGACTACCAAAAATTCTCCGGGAACTCTAATTGTTGTTCCAAAAGTAAGCTCGGCATGTGAAGTCTTGATGTCCTCCTTGTAGCCTGTCCTTAGTCCTAATAGCACCGTAGGCAGCAGCTGAGTCCATGGCGAGCTACGCTGACACATTAGTGCGGCCTTGAATGTTCTGTGAAAGCGTTCAACCATTCCGTTCGACTACGGGTGATATGATATGGCGTTGTGCGTATACGTGTAGCTCTAATCAGTTTTGCCAATGAGGTGAAAAGTGCAGATTCAAACTGCGGTCCTTGATCGGTAGTAATTGTTAGCGATGTGCCAAACGTAGCGATCCAGCCAGAGTAGAATGCGCCGGCCACTTCTTCCGCTGTCGTACTTTTCAACGGGATCGCTTGTGGCCATCGAGTGTATCTATCGCTAAGAGTGAGGCAGTACCTATACTTGTTAACGAGAGGCATAGTTACTATGTCCAAGTTATATGGTTGAATCGAGCTTCTGGTACGTCCAAGCTAGCTGGCTGGTTCCGCGTATGACGATGGAATTTTGCCTTCTGGCACGGAATACATTCACGCGACCAGGTGAGTGCGTATTTGCGAATGCCAGGCCAAAAGTACTTTTGGCGAAGCTTCGTTGTTGTCTCTCAACCGCTCGGATGGGCGGGGCCATGGATGACGTTGAACGCTGTCTTCCGCAGAGCGGGTGGTAGGTACGGGCGTACCGTTCCTGTTGAAACCTCATAGAGGAAACGGTGTCCGTCCAACTTGATCTGCTGTAGATCACTCAAGTGGCCACTCTCTTGGCTAGGTAAAGCTTCGGATTTCGCCTGAGCCTCGTGAATGACTTGAGCACTGAGCTGACAAGGGAACCACCCCAACCCGACCTCACCGATTTGAATGATTTTTGGATATGTTGTAGTACTTGAAAAAAAATTAGATACGTGTTTTTTTTATCGGCCCATAAGGGCTTTAAAGGGGTGAAATCCACCCTGAAAATCAACCCCTAAAATCAGTTTTTTTAATATTTCTCAGCATCAAATGAATATTTTTCAGTAAACTCAACGTTAACAAATTTCTTTTAAAAAGGCGCTTTTAAGGACATAACATTTATACCGAAGGGTTGCAACCCCCTTTTTAATAGGGGTAAATACACTATTTTTTGTACTGTTTTACGACATGTAATATAGTAAATCAGCTCGAGTGATTTAAAAATCGCACTGATAATGAGAAAATACCAAAATTAAATCGACGTGTTTCCGGATTTAAAAAAAAATATGATTATAAACAAAGAGCCATAGAATTTTGGAGGAGCGGAAAAAACAAAAACTTAAAACTGGATACTGTACAACATAGATTCAAAAAAGTTTCATCTATAACTCAACTCAAACGTTGGGCGAAAACAATTAATAAAAATGGAACTTACCGAGAAAAAATTGCGCAAATTTGCCTATACACGTTTGAT